GCCGCCCTGTCCACGCGCCTCTGGGTGAAAGGAGCTGGGCAGGAACCCAGCCCTCTGGGCCCCCCCGGGGTGGGGCCAGGCCCTGGGGCTGCTTATAGCCAGCGGGCGCGGGGCCGGGCAGAGCCGTGCGATGCCAACACCGACGGTGAGCAAGGCCGGGGCCGGGGGGTCCCAGGCACTGCCCCCTCCTTCTAACCACCCTGTCTCTCCCGCAGGCCCCCCCGGGCACGGAGGCGCGGGCGCTGCTGGTGGCGCTGGCGGCGCTGGCCGAGGACAACGCTGCCTTCTTCGGGCGCAGTGCCACAGCGGCCGGGCGGCGCGTGGGCGCAGCCTGCGTGGCGCTAGGGGAGCAGGCGCAGGCACTGGGGCCAGCACTGGCACCACTAAGCCGGGCCATGGCCTCCTTTGACCTGGACGCAGCAACACCAGGCAATGGCTGCCCCAGCCCGGGCGCCGCCCATGCCGAACACAAGAGCCGCTACGTGGCGGTGCATCGCCGCAGTCCTTTCTTCCGCGCCGGCCACAATGCCGCCGAGCTGGAGGCCTACGGCGCCGCCCTCACCCAGCTGCGTGCCCTGCTCTACTTGGCCCAGCGCCTGCTGGCCCAGCACCCGCCTGGCTGCCTCTTCCCCGAGTCGCCCAGTGCCGAGACCCCCGCCACCACCACTGCCAATGGTGCTAGCGCCGGCCCTGGGCTGACCGAACTTATGCTGCGTGAGTACAGCACCATGCACAAGGGCTGCTTCTATGGGCGCTGCCTCGGCTTTCAGGTACGTGGGGACGTGTAGCGCCGAGCACAGTAGGAACATGTAGCGCTGAGCGTGGGGACATGCAGCACCAGGCATGGGGGATGTGCAGCATTGAGCGCAAGGACATGCAGCACCGAGCGCAGGGACATGCAGTGCTGAGTGCCGGGGCTGGTCCTGGGGAGGGAGCGGCAGGGGGGCTCAGCCTGGCTGTGACCTCTGGCATTTGCTCCCAGTTTACCCCGTCCATCCGGCCCTTCCTGCAGACCATCGCCATCAGCCTGGTCTCCTTTGGGGAGAACTATCGCCCCGACAACCTGGGGCTTGGTGAGCATGGGTCAGGGGTCATACTGCCCTTCCCACTGTGCATTGCTCCCTGGCTCCTTCCCACAATGCACTGCAGCTCAAGGTCCCCTTCCCCATCCCATGCCACCCCCTTGGGGCCAGGTTAGGGTGGGGTGGGGTGCCCCCTGACCCCATGCCCCCTAACCCCATGCCCTGGGTAGGGGTGGCGGCGGGGTCGCTGCTGACCAGTGGGAAGTTCGCGGTGGACCCGGAGCTGCGCGGCGCTGAGTTTGAGCGCATCACGCAGAACCTGGACGTGCATTTCTGGAAGAGCTTCTGGAACCTGACAGAGACGCAGCTGCTGGCAGTGAGCGTGAGAGCGGGCAGTCGGGGGTTGCCAGGGGGTGGGGGGTCACTACAGCCCCTCCCTGACCCCTGTACCCCCTGTAGTCGGTGGCCGGCCTGGCGTCCAGCCCCGTGCGCGTGAGCCGGGCACTAACGGTGCCACCGGAGCCACTGGAGCTGCCACTGGCGGGCGGCCCCACACGCGGCATCACCATCC